CTCGTGCTCGGTGACGGGGATTAGCCTGTTAGCTCAGGTGAAGCCGAGCAGACCACAGGCTAACAGCCGGAGTGACGAGCTAACGGTGACGTCACGTGTCAATCAAGTGATARTTATTCATAATTTCAAACCTCTATATTATCTAAACGAGCGAGTTAGAAAAAAATTCACCCCCCCCAGAGTTGTCATGGAGGAAGAACTTACTGATTGAGACTAAACTCGTTTTTTGAACCAGGCTGTAAACACGTTTAATTCTGCTCTAAAGTCGGGCTTTTTAACATGGGAGTCAATGGGAATTGACTCCCTCTTGGAGCCAGCCTCAAGTGGCCACCCAGTGAACTGCAGTTATTTGCACTTCCGTATTGGCCTCAGCGCTCAGCCCGGGATGTTGCCGCTTGGTCGAAACGTCATCAGGAGGCACGCAGAACACAGTTACATGTCACAAGTCAAACATGAGCGCTGAGTTGACACCACAGACACATAGGAGCCATGACATCAGTCTGACTCAGGCTCATCCCTGACTCCCCTCAGTGTTCAGACGCCCTCCTGTGGCTGTGACAAGCCACTGCACCGGCTTGCAATCATACATGCAGCTGTTTGGACCAATCACAGGCGAGTATGCATATGAGAGTCATTCTAAAGAAAGTCAAAAGCCATGTTGACCTCTATACCTAACCGCTAAATTAATTTTACTGAACCATAGATGGTCTGTAAAGTTAATTAAGTTTCAATAAGAATATAAATGATTTGAATACAGATCATCAACTGTGGTTAGTTTCTTTTTTTCTCATCAACACTGATGTAAACTTTGAAAAACAAATGGCATCTGTCCACCATCTTGTCTCATGACCATGACTCATCTGAACTTCAATGAATCAATGATTGGTTCGCTGAGGGGAAAGTCCCTCACTGGAAAGTGCTGAGTCACTTCTCCGTGTCTCATTGGTCGAATGGGCGGTATTTCCTGAGAGGACCAATGAGAGGCCGTGTCAGGGTTGACGTATCCAAACGACGGTGACGTCGGCCGCGGAAGTAAACATTAAAGTGAGGATTTGACGCTGCGTCACAAAGTCCGTCTCTTTAGTTTCAGACGTTGTTTGTGTGAGTTTGTTTAGTTAGTTTCAGCTCATCCGCAGTTTCAGTAGTTTCTGTTACTCAGTGAGTTAATCAGCAGCATGTCGGTGGTGACGGTGAAGATTTACCTGCTCGGTAAAGACGAGGCGGTGAAAGAAATCCGCAGGTTCACGATGAATCAGGACGTTTCCTTCGATCAACTGAACCAGAAAACTGCGTCAGTTTTCACCAACCTGAAGAACTTCAATATGTACTACAGAGGTGAGACATGTTTATACTGTTAAAGATATATAGACATGTTTAT